AAAGGATTTTTATCAAAAACATAATTAATGTGCAGAAATAAGGAATAGTTGTATTAACCATACATGGAAACATTGTTTTATGGGGCCCCCAGGAACTTACCCCATAAACCCCCCCCTTTAAATCCATCAGAGGATGAGCAGATGAGTGGTTTACCTCAGTCTAAGCTGATTACTGTGAAAAAGTTTCCTTTAAACCCCATTTAAGGAAGTAAACCTTACAGATTTATTCCTGGTGTTTATTTTCAAGAAAGGAGAAAAGTTTAAATTAGAATTTTAACAAACACAACCTGAAGTTGAATAAAATATAGATAGTCCTAAAACATTTTTTCCTTCCCACATGATACAACCAGCTTTTAATGATATAAATCTCACTAAAGAATTAGAATAAAACCTTTAAATGCCGTGTTTTATCTGTTTATTATGCTTTAAATTGCTGATTAATGCATAAATGCCCCATTATTTCCTATCAGAATCACCTGTGCAGCATTCAGTGTGAGGTTAAGCTGAGGTTTAATCTCCATGGATGCAGCAGGATCCTGGTTCCAGGATTCCTCATGCTTGTTCTGCCTCTGAAAGCCGACCTGTTAGAAGTGTTGTTGACTGGTTGTGTTTTGACCATCCCTGTATGTTTCCCTGCATATCCTCCCTGTGACTCCAGAAGAGGAAGGGAGAGGTGAGACTCCGCTTCCCTCCAACCTCGGCTTTGCATCAGCGCTCCTTTCTGGCTGCACTTCTACACTTTCTGTTCCCGTTTGGACTAAAATGAACTTCCGGAACATTTTAGTCACGTTTCGCTCGGCTCCAGCGGAGCGTGGGTCTCAGGCCTGCTGGGAGCCTTTGTCTTTGCCTTCTCACACAGAGTCGGGCTTAGTAGTACCTGCTGAACTCCACCCGGCTGGGCTGCTGAGAGAGCTAAAACAAAGGCTTCTTTAATAGGAATAAGGTAAAATGGTTTTATTCCTCTTGTTCATCCAATTCTTCAGGTAATGAACCTTTAGAAGATGAAACGGAGGATCTCTGCAGACCCAACAGCTGAGCAGGAAGCTCAGAGCTTCTCGCCGTAGTTTGATGCTCAGCTTCCAGTTAGATGCTGACCTGAAGCTTCGTTAATAGTTCTGGATCCTCGGGGTCTGCAGCTGCTTCAGCCGGACCTCTGATGCTGACAGGAGAAAAATCAGCTGATTTTAGGTTCCATCAGATCGTCTACGTTCACCAGTAGAACCTGCTGCTGATGCGCCTTCAGCTAAACTTCGCTCAGCTGCTGATGTTAGGTTTAGTCCTCTGAAGATGTGATGAAGCAGCATCGCTGCCTGCAGTTTATTCCCGCAAAGAAGAGTTTGCTTTGTGTTTCTGCTGCTGCTGCCGGAGCTTCTGCAACCTGCACGATGAAATGTTCTCATTGATTTGCTTGGATCCCATTGGTTTAATTCCCTGAGGCCACTTAGAGCTGCAGTTTAATGGAAGCCCGGCTTAATGAATCCCTCCGTCTGCCGTTTGCTGTCGGCGTGTTTCTCCTCAGAGGCTCGTCAGGCCGGCTGCTGGATCAGATCCATAACGTTTCCGTCTCCTGTTCCCCGCAGGTCCTGGAGGCCTGGAAGAACCTGCTGGAGGCGGCGGAGGGCCGGCGGGTCAAGCTGGTGGACACGGCCGACAAGTTCCGCTTCTTCAGCATGGTGCGGGACCTGATGCTGTGGATGGAGGACGTGATCCGGCTGATCGAGGCTCAGGAGAAGCCAAGGTAGGAGGAGAACAGCCAGTGTTCTGTCAGACCAGCATACCCCATCAGACCAGCATAACCCGTCAGACCAACATACCCCGTCAGACCAGCATACCCCATCAGACCAGCATACCCCATCAGACCAGCATACCCCGTCAGACCAGCATACCCCGTCAGACCAGCATACCCCATCAGACCAGCATACCCCATCAGACCAGCATACCCCATCAGACCAGCATACCCTGTCAGACCATCATACCCCATCAGACCAGCATACCCCATCAGACCAGCATACCCCATCAGACCAGCATACCC